GGATATTTATATTTGATGACGTTGCGTGTGACAAATAGGACGTAATCAGGGAGTATTTCGCTATGGGTAGACACTCAAACATTGATTGTTTTTATCTTTGTCAAACCTATGCTAAGATACCGAAACATCTGATACGAGATAACGCAAATTTTTTAATTTTATTCAGACAGGATGGCACGAATCTGAAACATGTCTATAATGATCATGTAAACACTGATATGCCATACGAAGATTTTTGCGCATTGTGTCGCGCATGTTGGAAGCGGAAGTACGGATTCATCGTGATCGACAAGGATAGCGCGATACACAAAGGTAGATATCGGCGAGGGTTTAATGACTTTGCTGTACTGTAGAACGATTAGTGAGTGTCGAAACGTTATCTCGACATGAGTGACCAACAACGCCCAATCGAAGTACTTATAACGACGACGCCGAGAACTGTGGACAAGGCGACGAATACAGAACCAGTGGTGGTTATTGCTTTGAACAATATCAACAACGGTGATAACGACAAGCGACGGCGACGGACGACGGCGACGGCGACGGCGACGGCGACGGCGTCGAGGGGGACAACAATGGAATCAGCGGCGGTGACAGCAAAGCCATTTGCAACAGTAACGATGACGTCAAACGAAAAGAGGAAACGAAAAAAAAGCATGACATCGTGGAACGTGAAAAAACGCTGAGGGAGATCGCTAGAACACGCGAATCAATTCGAAAAAAACATAGAGCGTTAAAAACTGGTGGGATAGAGGACGAAATCATTCTGGAGAAACAATTTAGACCCATTGTCGAACCATTAAAACAAATCGTTCAAAATACTGGAGCGCAACAAAATGAACCACTGGTACAAGATATTGTGAAGAAGGAGGAAAAACATAAAAGCAACAGGCTCGCGCCATTAAAACGATCTGAGACACGTACGCGTCGAAACGCCACATCGGACTCACCAAGAATACGCGATACAATATACAACGTGCCTCCAATTTTCTCTTCTACGCCAACCAACATAACGAAAACTACGCAACCGTTTATCTCGCAGAAAGAAGATAATGAAAAGGAATACGAGGAAGAAGAAGAAGAAGAAGATGAGGTTTTTGAAACAATGAATCCACTAGAAACATCTGTTAAAGAGACTCTACAGACGCGACAGGGTCGCGAGGCGTTATATAGTAAATTAGGTCCATTGGGTAAAAAATACCTAAGCGGTTTTTTTAATCATCATAAGGATATGGATTACGTATATGGCGTATATTTTGACGTGGAAGGTACGATGCTTGGTAGCAAACGTTTCGATGTCGATATTGATGACTCAATGATCATAGGTGGCGTAAGGTTCAAAAGTACGCCTGGATTATATGAACTAATTTTTAAAAGTGAACCGGACAAAACGATTTTAACCACGAACGATAAATTAATGTATAAGGATATACTACTATTGACGAACGCTCACAGACGCGATCACAGCGCTCATGGACCGATTATGGGTAATAAGGGAACAAAGTACAGAGAGATTATTGGACCTCTTGTAAATGCCGATAAATTTCGTAAAAAATATGGAAAAAGAGGCGCTGGTGTACCATCTGCAATGAGACTGACCAACAATAAAATAGATTATGTTCATTGGGATGATCCTAATGAACTTGTAAATCGTCTTCGATTGCTCGATGCTTCTCATCAAGCTGGAAATCATGCTCACGACAACGAGATTTTATCCATACTTGAAGAGCTTCGCGAAACTGGATTGATACTATAAAAAAAGTGTCATATCGATTCTGATTTATCTACAAGTTCGTCGCAATGTTCGTGAACAAGTTCA